TTGTCTGTGGAAACGTTGGTTACTATATTATTGCATCTGAGCTCCTAGAGTGTGTGGCTCTCCTTTACTTTTTCAGCTGTTCGGTACATTGACATTAGGACTCACTTGAAAAAAAACTATTCTCTGAGGAAAATGTTGGTATGTCACTTAAAATAAATCATTTTCATTAGAGCAAGTCCCTTGAGAATAGACCAGGAGTGGGAATACTGTGTAGCTAGGCTACAGTCCTGTGTGTCCATGTTTTCCATCCATATCTTCCTTGATCAGAACACAATCTTTCTTCATGGACTGCTTACAAACACTTTACATTTGAAGGGAGGCAAGGTGACTCACCAGTCACCACACAACATTTTAAAACCTGAATACTGAAGGTATGAAATGAAGTCTAATCTTCAAAGATCACACTTCATTTACATCCAGTGTTCTGTGTACATACTGTACCGTAGGTACTCACAGTTCTACAGGTCATCTAGTAATCTACCACAAATGTTTACAGCAGCTGTCATATTTGTAATAGCATAATGTACCTGCTATTACTAACAGTCCAGAGTTTCTTGTACCACAATAGCTGGTCAAGTTCTTGACAATCTTAGGTAATGTTTTGTTTAGTGAGAGATAAAAATGTACACATCCAGGCTCTGTCGTAGCCGGCCGCGACCGGGAGACCCATGGGGCGGCGCACAATTGGCCCAGCGTCGTCCAGGGTAGGGGAGGGAATGGCCAGCAGGGGATGTAGCTCAGTTGGTAGAGCATGGCGTTTGCAACGCCAGGGTTGTGGGTTCGATAAAATAATGTATGTGCTAACTGTAAGTCGCTCTGGATAAGAGCATCTGCTAAATGACTAAAATGTCAAATGTAAATGTACACAATAGTTACCTGGAGGAAAATGGGGGAGGGTCATGCTTTTTCAATTTCAGTCAGGGGGAGGGTTTAGTATTTTTTATTATTTTTAGTCCAGGGGAGGGTCATGTAATTTGTAATCGATGAATGTCATATTAATCGATTACAGGGTTTGAGAATTAGTTGCTTATTATAATATTTTATGTGTGCCCGATGATGCCCCTCATCCCTGATTCTCTGGTGGGAACGCAATATCAAGTGTGCCTGGTGTGGTCTCAATAAAATGATCCATAGCCTATACTAGGCTATAGGCCTAGGCTATTAGAAGAGCATGCTCAGAGAAGCACAGGGCAAAGTTAGAGTTCTAAGAAAATATACTTCCTTCCTTAGATTTTGCACTGCTACTGGGATGGTGTATATAAAACAAAGCTACACTGCATTACACACAAACATTACACACTGCCCTGCTCTTGCTGATGTAAACTATTTTGTGCTACCTAACCAGTGACGGTGACACTTCAGGAGGCAAGTCAATTTGTCCAAAAAATGCAATATGTGAGCACGGACTAGGCCTACTGATGTCCTGTTCAGTTTAAGAGGGAGAGCGTGAAGATGAGAAAGAGGACCGGAGGTATTTTTTATTTTATTCCAGATCCCCATTAGCAGCTGCCAAGGCAGCACCTATTTTTCCATGGGTCCAAAGCTTGCTACTGCTATAATAGATTTAAAACAAATTAAATTGACCTGATTATATAAAACTATCTATAACGACGCTTTAGTCCGCAATGCTTTATGATAGAAACAAGCTGTAAAATGGAAAGACGTGACTCCGATGCATATGGGATATCTTTGGTTTGTCTGTATGACATTCAGAGGCTGCTCTACAACCTTATATAGCCGAGGAGCAGTGGTGTAGTGCTATTTTTCTAGGTGATATATTACACTGAACAAAAATATAAACGCAACATGCAACAATTTCAAAGATTTTACTGAGTTACAGTTCATATAAGGACATCAGTCAATTGAAATAAATTCATTAGGCCTAATCTTTGGATTTCATATGACTGGGAATACAAATATGAATCTGTTGATCACAGATACCTTTAAAAAAAAAGGTAGGAGCGTGGATCAGAAAACCAGTCAGTATCTGGTGTGACCACCATTTGCCTCATACAGATTGACAGATCTCCTTCACATAGAGTTGATCAGGCTGTTGATTGTGGCCTGTGGAATGTTGTCCCACTCGTCTTCAATGGCTGTGCAAAGTTGCTGGATATTGGCGGGAACTGGAACACGCTGTCATACACGTCGATCCAGAGCATCCCAAACATGCTCAATGGGTGACATGTCTGGTGAGTATGCAGGCCATGGAAGAACTGGGACATTTTCATCGTCCAGGAATTGTGTAGAGATCCTTGCAACTTGGGGCCGTGCATGATAATGCTGAAACATGAAGTGATGGCGGCGGATAAATGGCACGACAATGGGCCTCAGGAGCTCATCATGGTATCTCTGTGCATTCAAATTGCCATTGAATAAAATGCAATTGTGTTCGTTGTCCGTAGCTTATGCCTGCCCATACAATAACCCCACCGCCACCATGGGGCACTCTGTTCACAACGTTGACATCAGCAAACCGCTCGCCCACACGACGCCATACACGTCTGCCATCTGCCCGGTACAGTTGAAACTGGGATTAATCTGTGAAGAGCCCACTTCTCCAGTGTGCCAGTGGCCATTGAAGGTGAGTATTTGCCGACTGAAGTTGGTTACGACGCCGAAATGCAGTCAGGTCAAGACTCTGAGGACGACGAGCACGCCGATGAGCTTCGCTGAGAAGGTTTCTAACAGTTTTTGCAGAAATTCTTCGGTTAAGCAAACCCACAGTTTCATCAGCTGTCCGGGTGGCTGGTTTCAGAGAATCCCGCAGGTGAGTAAGCCAGATGTGGAGGTCCTGGGCTGGCGTGGTTACACGTGGTCTGCGGTTGTGAGGCAGGTTGGACGTACTGCCAAACTCTCTAAAACAATGTTGGAGGCTGCTTATGGTATAGAAAGGAACTTTCAAATCTCTGGCAACAGCTCTTGTGGACATGCCTGCAGTCAGCATGCCAATTGCACACTCTGTGGCATTGTGTTGTGTGACAAAACTGCACATTTTAGAGTGGCCTTTTATTGTCCCCAGCACAAGGTGCACTTGTGTAATGATCATGCTGTTTAATCAGCTTCTTGATATGACACACCTGTCAGGTGGATGGATTATCTTGGCAAAGGAGAAATGCTCACTATCTGGGATGTAAGAACATTTCTGGGATCTTTTATTTCAGCTCATGAAACACGGCACCAACACTTTACATGTTGCGTTTATATGACATCATCATTTCTAAATAAAAGTTTGTACTGACAGATTGAAAGTATTCAGACCCCATGACTTTTTTCAAATGTTGTTATGTTACAGCCTTATTCTAAAATTGATTGAATAGTTCCCCCCCCCCCCCCCATCAATCTACACACAATACCCCATAATGACAAAGCAAAAACAGGTTTTTAGAATTATCAGCAAATTTAGTGGAACAAAACCAGGAAATATCACATTTACATAGGTATTCAGACCCTTTACTCAGTACTTTGTTGAAGCACCTTTGGCAGCGATTACAGCCTCGATTCTTCTTGGGTATGACGCTACAAGCTCGGCACACCTGTATTTGGGTAGATTTTCCCCATTCTCTGCAGATCCTCTCAAGCTCTGTCAAGTTAGATGGGGAACGTCAATGCACAGCTATTTTCAGGTCTCTCCAGAGATGTTTGATCGGGTTCAATTCCGGGCTCTGGCTGGGCCACTGAAGGACATTCAGAGGCTTGTCCCAAAGCCACTCCTGCGTTGTCTTGGCTGTGTGCTTAGGGTCGTTGTCCTGTTGGAAGATTAACCTTTGCCCCAGTCTGAGGTCCTGAGCGCTCAGGAGCAGGTTTTCATCAAGGATCTCTCTGTACTTTTCTCTGTTCATCTTTCCCTCGATCCTGATTAGTGTCCCAGTCCCTGCCGCTGAAAAACATCCCCACAGCATGATGCTGCCACCACCATGCTTCACCGTAGGGATAGTGCCAGGTTTCCTCCAGACGTGACGCTTGGCATTCAGGCCAATGAGTTCAATCTTGGTTTCATCAGACCAGAGAATCTTGTTTCTCATGGTCTGAGAGTCCTTTAGGTGCCTTTTGGCAAACTCCAAACAGGCTGTCATGTGCCTTTTATTGAGGAGTGGCTTCCGTCTGGCCGCTCTACCATAAAGGCCTGATTGGTGGAGTGCTGCAGAAATGGTTGTCCTTCTGGAAGGTTCTCCCATTGCCACAGAGGAACTCTGGAGCTCTGTCACAGTGACCATCGGGTTCTTGGTCACCTCACTGACCAAGGCCCTTCTCCTCCGATTGCTCAGTTTGGCCGGGCAGCCAGCTCTAGGCAGAGATGGAGGCCACTGTGTTCTTGGGGACCTTTAATGCTGCAGAAATTTTTTGGTACCCTTCCCCAGAGCTGTGCCTCGACACAATCCTGTCTCGGAGCTCAACAGACAATTCCTTCGACCTCATGGCTTGGTTTTTGCTCTGAGATGCACTGTCAACTGTGTGACCTTATACAGACAGGTGTGTGCCTTTCCAAATCATGTCCAATCAATTGAATTTACCACAGGTGGACTCCAATCAAGTTGTAGAAACATCTCCAGGATGATCAATGGAAACAGGATGCACCTGAGCTCAATTTCGAGTCTCATAGCAAAGGGTCTGAACACTTTTTTAAAATACTTTTTAATAAATTCCTAAAAACCTGTTTTTGCTTCGTCATTATGTGGTATTGTGTATAGATTGATGAGGATTTTATTTTATTTAATCCATTTTAGAATAAGCCTGTAACATAACAAAATGTGGAAAAAGTCAAGACATCTGAGTACTTTCCGAATGTGCTGTATGTGCATAAAATGCATCTTTCAATTGCAACATCTGCCTATTTGCCTACACATCTTGTCCTGAGAAAATGTTGTATTTTTAATACCCTCAAACACCAAGTGTTACGCGGAGTGGAACAGGGGAACCCAAGAGCAGACTCAGATTAGGAGACTGGGATGAAATAACCAAGGTATTTATTGAGACACAGGGGGGAGATGGAGTGCAGGTCAGGGGAAACTGCTGGAAACCAGGTGCGGAGGCTGCGGCTGGAGCGAGGGGGGTTGAGACAGGGTGAGCAGGTCCGGAGGGGAATCCAAGGGAGTAATAGAGTGGGGAATCCAGAACAGAGTAGCAGGATGACGAGACGTGGGACTGGAGACAGGGACCAGAGTCCGAGCGGGCAGAACTGTAGCGGAGAGGAAAACAGCGTCAGGCAAGGAAAACTGGCACAACAGGATAACAGGATCTGAATAGTAACAAACGGCTAGAACCGTAGACTGACTGAGCAGAGATTACGATCTGGCAGTGTGGAAGTGGCAGGACTGAGTATTTGTAGAGGTCTTGATTATGGAACAGGTTGCAGCTGATGGGGTTCTGCTCTGACTCCAGCACACCTGTCTCCGCCCACACAATCACACACACACACACAGAGAGGGAGAGGGAGAGGGAGAGAGTACTGGGGGAGTGGCGGCAGGTCAAGGAGACACAGGATGAGCAGTAGAGGGCGTTGCAGGAGCAGATTTGACAGTACCCCCCCCCACCCCCCCCTCTCTACATGGCGCCCGACCAGGGTTATATGGGTGTGAGGTATAGAAATCCCGTAAGAGGGAGGGGTCCAGAATGTGACGGCGGGGCACCCAGCTGCGCTCCTCAGGCCCGTATCCTTCCCAGTCCACCAGGTACTGCCAGCCATGACCCTGACGGCTCACGTCCAGAAGCCGCCGGACGGTATAGGCAGGATGGTCATCGATGAGCCGAGGGGGTGGACGAGCTGCTGCCGGAGGAGACAGGGGACTGGAGCAGACAGGTTTAATCAGGGATACATGGAATGTAGGATGGATCCTGAGAGAGGCTGGGAGTTTCAGGTGCACTGCAGAGGGGATAATGACACGGTCAATTTTAAAGGGACCAATGAATCGGGGGGAAAGTTTCTTCAGTGCCACCTTCAATGGCAGGTCCTTCGATGAGAGCCATACCTTTTGACCCAGTTGGCTTGGGACTGGATCCTGTCGGCGGCACAAAGAAGGGAAGCCCGGGCCTTCCTCCAGGTAAGGTGACAACGGCGCAGATGGTCCTGGACAGAGGGAACCGCAACCTCAATCTCTTGGGCGGGGAACAAGGGGGGTTGGTAACCCAGAGCACACTCGAAGGGTGACATACCTGACGAGGCGTTGGGGAGGGTGTTGTGGGCATATTCAATCCCGGGTAGCTGAGCGCTTCAGGAGGAAGGGTTAGCAGAAGTCACGCATCGTAGGGCAGTCTCCATCTCTTAGTTGGCCCGTTCGGTATGGCCGTTGGTCTGGGGGTTACATCCAGAAGAAATACTGACATTGATACCAAAAGCTGAACAGAAGGATCTCCATACCTGGGAGGTAAACTGGGGTCCTCTGTCGGAAACGATGTCAGTGGGGATGCCATGCAGACGAAACACATGGGATACTAACAGGTCCGCAGTCTCCCTGGAGGACGGGAGCTTAGAGGGGGGAATGAAGTCAGCCATTTTGGAAGACCTGTCAATAATGGTGAGGATGAATGAGTTACCGTTAGATGGGGGAAGGCCAACAAACTTCCGGACATCTCTCTCCATGGTGGGCCACCAAAAGCGCTGACGCAGGAAGGCGAGGGTCCGGTTCATACCAGGGTGACAGGTGAGGTGGGTAGAATGGCCCCACTGAAGAACAGCAGAGCGAACACAATCTGGGACAAACAGAGCATTACTAGGACCGTTACCCGGGTCAGGTTGGTTCTGCTGAGCCTGGCGGATACGGGACTCGATCTCCCAGGTGACGGCGGCAACAATGCAGGTGGATGGCACAATGGCTTCTGGCTCGGTACCCATGTTGTCGGTGGTGAACTGGCGAGAGAGGGCATCAGGCTTGGTATTCTTCGAACTGGGGCAATAAGTGAGTGTTAAATTGAATCTACCGAAGAACAAGGCCAACCTGGCTTGCCGGGAGTTCAGACATTTGGCGGTCTGGATGTAGGACAGGTTTTTATGGTCAGTCCACATGATGAAAGGGGTTACAGAGCCCTCCAGCCAGTGACGCCATTCCTCCAGAGCAAACTTAACTGCCAGGAGTTCCCGGTTTCCAATGTTAAAATTCCTCTCTGCAGGTGAGAGCTTACGGGAAAATGATGCACATGGGTGGACCTTCTGATCAGAGGGGGAACGTTGAGACATAACAGCACCTACCCCGGTGTCAGAGGCGTCCACCTCCACGATGAACTGGAGTTCTGGGTCAGGCTGAGTAAGGACCGGAGCGCAGGTGAAGCGACGCTTGAGTTCCAGGAATGCTGCCTCTGCCGCAGGAGTCCAATGGAACGGAGTGGAGGTGGAGGTGAGAGTGGTGAGAGGTGCTGCCAGATGGCTGTAGTGACGGATGAAACGTCTGTAAAAATGTGCAAACCCCAGGAAACGCTGCAGCTGCTTCAGGTTGGAGGGCGCAGGCCACTCTGTGACTGCCATGACCTTGGAGGGGTCCATACGCAACTGTCCCTGTGCAATAATATAACCCAGGAAAGACACTGTGGCAGCATGGAACTCACATTTTTCAGCTTTAACAAAAAATGTATTCTCCAACAGCCGTTGATGAACTTGGCGAATGTGTTGCTGGTGAGCCTCAGGGTCCTTGGAAAAAAATCAGGTTGTCATCTAAATAGACAAAAATGAAGCGTCCAATCACATCCCTCAGCACGTCATTGACTAGGTTCTGGAAAACAGCATGAGCGTTAGTAAGACTAAAAGGCATGACCAAATACTCAAAGTGACCAAGTGATGTGTTGAACGCAGCCTTCCACTCGTCCCCCTCTCTTATGCAGACAAGGTGGTAGGCATTCCAGAGGTCGAGTTTGGTAAACACAGTGGCACCATGGAGGGGGGCAAAAGCAGAGCTGATGAGTGGCAAGGGGTACTTGTTCTTAACAGTGATATTATTCAGACCATGGAAGTCTATGCACGGCCTCAGTGACCCATCCTTCTTCACAAAGAAAACCCCAGCACCCACCGGGGAGGAAGATGGCTTGATAAGTCCTGCAGCCAGAGAATCCTGGATGTACCTCTCCATAGCCTCTTGCTCGGGACGAGAGAGGTTAAACAACCAGCTACTGGGTAGAGGAGCTCCAGGCTGGAGGTCAATGACGCAGTCGTACGGCTGATGAGGCGGCAGCGACAGGGCGTGGTACTTGCTGAATACAGGAGCTAGATTGTGATACTCAGGAGGAACTGATGACAGGTCCGGAGGTTCTGGAATGAACTGGGGCACAGACAACGCAGGGAGAAGGGCAGAATATAAACAATTAGAGTGACAAAATGAACTCCAAGTGGTTACCTTTCCGGCGGTCCAGTCAATCTGTGGGTTGTGTAGCTTTAACCATGGATGGCCAAGAACCAGGGGAGAGTAAGGACAGTCGATTATGTGGAAACTGATATTTTCCTGATGATTTCCAGATAGACGCAGGATGACCGGGACGGTTCTCTCACAGACACGCGTGAGGAGCTGTCCATTGAGAGCGTTGGCATCGAGGGGTGAATCGAGTGGGACAGTGTCCAGGCCCAACTGGGTAACGACACCTCGGTCCAGGAAGCTCTGCCACACAAGGTTGCCTTCAAGCAGGGGTCTGGCGGAAGATGGGCAGGCGATTTGGCTCAACAGTACAGTTGAAGTCGGAAGTTTACATACACTTAGGTTGGAGTCATTAAAACTCGTTTTTCAACCACTCCACAAATGTCTTGTTAACAAACTATAGTTTTGGCATGTTGGTTAGGACATCTACTCTGTGCATGACACAAGTAATTTTTCCAACAATTGTTTACAGACAGATTATTTCACTGTATCACAATTCCAGTGGGTCAGAAGTTTACATACACTAAGTTGACTGTGCCTTTAAACAGCTTGGAAAATTCCAGAAAATAATGTCATGGCTTTAGAAGCTTCTGATAGGTTAATTGACATCATTTGAGTCAATTGGAGGTGTACCTGTGGATGTATTTCAAGGCCTACCTTCAAACTCAGTGCATCTTTGCTTGACATCATGCGAAAATGAAAAAAAAATCAGCCAAGGCCTCTTAGCTTAGGAAGGAGACGCGTTCTGTCTCCTAGAGATAAACGTACTTCGGTGCAAAAAGTGCAAATCAATCCCAGAACAACAGCAAAGGACCTTGTGAAGATGCTGGAGGAAACAGGTACAAAAGTATTTATAGCCACAGTAAGAGTCCTATATCGACATAACCTGAAAGGCCGCTCAGCAAGGAAGAAGCCACTGCTCCAAAACCACCATAAAAAAGCCAGACTACGGTTTGCAACTGCACATGGGGACAAAGATCATACTTTTTGGAGAAATGTCCTCTGGTCTGATGAAACAAAAATAGAACTGTTTGGCCATATTCACCATCGTTATGTTTGGAGGAAAAAGGAGGGCTTGCAAGCCGAAGAACACCATCCCAACCGTGAAGCACGGGGGTGGCAGCATCATGCTGTGGGGGTGCTTTGCTGCAGGAGGGACTGGTGCACTTCGCAAAATAAATGGCGTCATGAGGAAGAAAAATGATGTGGATATATTGAAGCAACATCTCAAGACATCAGTCAGGAAGTTAAAGCTTGGTCGCAAATGGGTCTTCCAAATGGACAATGACCCCAAGCATACTTCCGAAGTTGTGGCGAAATGGCTTAAGGACAACAAAGTCAAGGTATTGGAGTGGCCATCACAAAGCCCTGACCTCAATCCTATAGAACATTTGTGGGCAGAACTGAAAAAGCGTGTGCGAGCAAGGAGGCCTACAAACCTGACTCAGTTACACAAGCTCTGTCAGGAGGAATGGGCCAAAATTCACCCAACTTATTGTGGGAAGCTTGTGGAAGGCTACCCGAAACGTTTGACCGAAGTTAAACAATTTAAAGGCATTGCTACCAAATACTAACTGTGTGTATGTGATGAATGAAATAAAAGCTGAAATAAATCATTCTCTCTACAATTATTCTGACATTTCACATTCTTAAAATAAAGTGGGGATCCTAACTGACCTAAGACAGGGGATATTTACTAGGATTAAATGTCAGGAATTGTGAAAAACTGAGTTTAAATGTATTTGGCTAAGGTGTATGTAAACTTCCAACTTCAACTGTATATGCCCCCACTACTGCGAGCCCCCCTCTTTTGCTGGACGCAGGGAAAAAGTGGAGACAAAGTTACCAACCTGGCCACAGTATAGGCAGCTCCTAGCTCCAAATCGTCGTTCCCTCTTCTCTGGAGAGAGACGGGCCCGGCCGAGCTGCGTGGGTTCAGGATCTGGATGAGCCTGGGGATGATATGCATTCGGAGAAGGAGGACAAGGCACTGAAGCAGATGTTATGGGACATGCAACCCTACCTACCCTCTCCCTCCGACGCTCCCGGAGATGGTTGTCGATGCGGATAGCGAGAGAGAGGAGTTCATGAAGTCCATCAGGCTCATCCCTGGACACCAACACGTCCTTGAGGGTCTCAGTGAGCGCGTTCCGGAATGCTCCCTGAAGGGCCTCCTCATTCCAGCCGCTCTCAGCGGTGAGGGTGCGGAACTCCCATGCCATCTCAGCAACACTATGGGGGCCTTGACGGAGGGACAGGAGTCGTTTAGCGCCATACTTACCGCAGACCGGGTGGTCGAAGTCTTTCTTCATCTCCTCCGTGAATCTGGAGTAGGAGAAGCAGATGGGGGACTGTCTCTCCCAAACCGCCGTGGCAGCCAATCAGAAAGGAAATCTTGGCCCGTTCACTAGCATAAGAGTAGGGCTGTTGCTCAAATACTAGTGAACATTGTACCAAAAAAAAGGCTCTGCAGGCTCCGAGGTTGCCATCGTAACGCTCGGGAGTCTAAACAAACGGCTCCCGGAGCGGAGGAGAAGGACTTGGAACAGGTTGTGAGCTCTGGGCGCAGGGTCGGCCCTGTAGGTCAGACAGGCTCTGCGAAAACTCCTTGATGTGCTCCAGAAGGGTCTTCAGGGCTTGGTCATGTTGCTCGAGCAGGGCACCTTGGCCGACGAGAGTTTGGTGGAGAGTAGCAGAGTCTGCTGGGTTAATCTCTTTGGCCAGATTGTACTGTTACGCGTAGTGGAACAGGGGAACCCAAGAGCAGACTCAGACGAGGAGACTGGGATGAAGTAACCAAGGTATTTATTGAGACGCAGGGGGGAGATGGAGTGCAGGTCAGGGGAAACTGCTGGAAACCAGGTGCGGAGGCTGCGGCTGGAGCGAGGGGGGTTGAGACGGGGTGAGCAGGTCCGGAGGGGAATCCAAGGGAGTAGTAGAGTGGGGAATCCAGGACAGAGTAGCAGGATGATGACATGTGGGACTGGAGACAGGGACCAGAGTCAGAGCGGGCAGAACGGTAGTGGAGAGGAAAACAGAGTCGCAGAGGAAAACAGCGTCAGGCAGGGATCTGAAAAACAGGCACAACAGGAATCTTGTCGGGGAAAGCGCTGGAGTGGGCCAACGCTGAATGGGGAGGGATAGATGCAACGTTTGGTTCGCTACGAGGAGTTCACCCACCGCTTCCAGGCGTTCTTCGATCATCCGCCTGAGGGAAGAGCGGCGGGGGAACGCTTGTTCCATCTCAGACAGGGGAAGAGGAGCGAACAGGACTTCGCACTGGACTTCAGGATCCTGGTTGCCAGCGCGGGAGGGAATGAGAGGGCCCTGATCGACCATTACCGTTGTAGTCTACGGGAGGACGTTCGTCGGGAGCTGGCCTGCAGGGACACCACCCTTACCCTCGATCAGCTGGTGGATTTATCCATCTGGCTGGATAACCTGTTGGCCACCCGCGGACGCTCGGATTGGGGTCTGTCCGTTCCATCCCCCAGCACCTCCGAGTCTACACCTATGGAGCTCGGAGGTGCTGCTCTAAGGGGGGCCGTGTCCTGCACCACATGTGGCTGCAGAGGGCACACTGCTGGTCGGTGTTGGGGAGGTTCCCCAGGGAGTCGAGGCAGCAGGCAGGGCATGGTGGATCATCCCAGGTGAGTAGGCACCCGACTCACCCAGAGCTCCCTGTTGCGCACATGTATGTCTGTATAGAGTTTCCAGAGTTTTCCCCGCATTCCCAGCATAAGGCGCTAGTAGATTCAGGCGCAGCTGGGAACTTTATTGACCATTCATTGCACTTAGATTAGGGATCCCTATTGTTCCTGTTGATGTGCCCTTTCCTGTACATGCCTTAGATAGTCGTCCTTTAGCATGGACGGGAACGGGGAAAGGGTGGGCGGGGAAAGGGGGAAAAACCATTTTTGGGCGGGGAATGGAGGAAGGGAACCGGAAAGTCATCGAGGGGGTGAGACGGGTGAGAGGCCCGAGGGAACCCAAGGGAGTAGTAGAGGGGGAATCCAGACAGAGTAGCAGGATGATGACATGTGGACTGGAGACAGGGACCAGGTCAGGCGGGGCAAACGGTGTGGAGAGGAAAACAGGTCAGGAAAGGGAAACAGGCACAACAGGTCTGAAAGTAACAAACGGCTAGAACCGTAGACTGACTGAGCAGAGATTACGATCTGGCAGTGTGGAAGTGGCAGGACTGAGTATTTGTAGAGGTCTTGATTATGGAACAGGTTGCAGCTGATGGGGATCTGCTCTGACTCCAGCACACCTGTCTCTACCCACACAATCACACACACACACACACACACACACACACACACACACACACAGAGAGAGAGAGAGAAAGGGAGAGGGAGAGGGATAGAGTACTGGGGGAGTGGCGGCAGGTCAAGGAGACACAGGATGAGCAATAGATGTCACGAACGTTTAAAGATTGGTCGAACCAAGGCGCAGCGTGATAAGCGTACATGTTTATTATAACTGTGCAAACACGACAAAACAACAAACAAACGATACGTGAAGTCTTAAGGTTACACACAACAAACCTATACGGAACAAGAGCCCACAACCCACTAGTGCCAACAGGCTACCTAAGTATGGTCCCCAATCAGAGACAACGAGCTACAGCTGCCTCTGATTGGGAACCACCCTGGCCAACATAGATCTAAACGATCTAGAAACTAAACATAGAAAACACAACATAGAAACTACACACCCTGGCTCAACATTTAAGAGTCCCCAGGGCCAGGGCGTGACAGTACCCCCCCCCCCCCCCCCCCCCCCCCCCCCAAAGGTGCAGACTCAGACCGCGCAACCTAAACATAACAGGGTAGGGGCCGGGTGGGCATTCCGCCTCGGAGGCGGATCCGGCTCCGGGCGTGACCACCACCTATTATCCGCCTCCCTGTTGCGCCCCTGGTCTGGTCTGGACCTCGGCGCGCTGCTTCCCCTCTCCTTCCTCCCACGAAGTACCAAGCCCTGTCTGGACCCTGGTGTGGGAGACCCCGAACCTAGAGAGGGGCTGACGTCTGGGTCTGGACTGGAACCGCTGACTGGAGCTGGACCCGACGACGGTGGAGCGAACTGCTCTGACTCCGACGTGGAGCCGCTGACCGATGCCGGACCAGGCACCGGTGGAACAGGCACGGGCCGTGCCGGACTGGACACACGCACCACTGGCTTGATGCGAGGGCCAGGAACAGGCCGGACTGGGCTGGAGACGCGCACCACTGGCTTGGTGCGATGGACAGGAACGGGCCGGGCTGGACTGGGAACACGCACCACTGGCTTGGTGCGGGGAGCAGGAACGGGCCGTACCGGACTGTGGACACGCACCACTGGCTTGGTGCGGGGAGCAGGAACGGGCCGGGCCGGACTGGGAACACGCACCACTGGCTTGGTGCTGGGAGCAGGAACGGGCCGTACCGGACTGTGAAGGCGGACTGGAGATCTGGAGCGGAGAGCTGACACAACCCGTCCTGGCTGGATGCCTACTTCCACACAATATGTGTGAGGCATTAGCACAGGACGTACGGGGCTGTGCACGCGTACTGGCGATACAGTACGTAGCACCGGCGCAGGATATATGGGACCGAGGAGGCGTACTGGAGACCACGAGCGTTGAGCCGGCACACCCCGTCCTGGCTGAATGCCCATCTTCGCATGACACGTGCGTGGTGCTAGCACAGGACGTACAGGACTGTGCCGGAACACTCGCGGCACAGTACGTAGCTCCGCATAACACGGAGCCTGCCCAGTCACACACTTCCTTGCATGAGTACGGGGAGTTGGCTCTGCTCTAACACTAGGCTCCGCCAACCACCCTTTTAGCCCCCCCCAATTTTTTTTTATTGGGGCTGTCTCTCGGGCTTCCTCCTCGGCCGGCACCTTCTGCGTTGCCGCTGCTCCTCTCTATAGCGCGCCTCCACTGTCTCCTCCCAAGGACGGCGATCCATTCCGGCCTGAATCTCCTCCCAAGTCCAGGATCCCTTCCCGTCCAGGATCTCCTCCCAGGACCAGGCTGTCTGCTCCTGGACACGCTGCTTGGTCCTCATTTGGTGGGATCTTCTGTCACGAACGTTTAAAGATTGGTCGAACCAAGGCGCAGCGTGATAAGCGTACATGTTTATTATAACTGTGCAAACACGATAAAACAACAAACAAACAATACGTGAAGTCTTAAGGTTACACACAACAAACCTATACGGAACAAGATCCCACAACCCACTAGTGCCAACAGGCTACCTAAGTATGGTCCCCAATCAGAGACAACGAACTACAGCTGCCTCTGATTGGGAACCACCCTGGCCAACATAGATCTAAACGATCTAGAAACTAAACATAGAAAACACAACATAGAAACTACACACCCTGGCTCAACATTTAAGAGTCCCCAGAGCCAGGGCGTGACAGTAGAAGGCATTGCAGGAGCAGATGTGACACCAAGTTAGGCATATATCATTTCAAAGTAGGCCATTATCACTGTCAATCGTGAAAAATAATTCTTCACGTTTTACCGGTGAAATGTCCAAACTGCATGCCAATCATTTGACCTCAATCAGTTTCATGGGAGTATGCATTTAGATCTTCTTGAATAACTGTTTTGCGAACGAATTATAGCAGATGGTGTTAACAATCTATTAGCATTTCTTGTAGGCCTATTTTGTTTCAATCAAAGCAAAGTTGAGTTTTGGCCGCATGAGGAAAATATTTGACTATTCAGCTTCAGATAAGAAATGACTGAGAATGTGTTTTGGTGTAACTAACATATTATAGGCCTACTGTCACGACTTCCGCCGAAGTTGGTGCCTCTCCTTGTTATCGGCGGTCGTCGTCACCAGCCTTTCTAGCTGCCACCGATCTACGTTTCTGTTTTCCATTTGTTTTGTCTTGATTGTACACACCTGGTTCCCATCACGTTATGATTATTACCCTATTTAACCCTCTGGTTCCCTGATGGTTTTGTGCGTGATTGTTCTTTGTTTTGTGTTTATTACTGCTGTGAGCTGGTGTATTTCCCTGCGTGGAAATTAGAATTGTTTATTTTCGAGTAAAGTTTGTTTGTTACTCAGTTCTGTGTCCTGTGCCTGACTCCGTCCTACCGCTGCACACTGACACCTGACAGAATCACGCACCTCCTATGGAGTCAGCAGGTGCACCCAGTCCTTCATTACCGGTGGAGGAGCGCGTCCAGCAGCACGCGACGATGCTCCACAATCTGGGCACAGCCATGGATCGCGTGCTGCACACCATGGAACGATGGGAGAGAGAGGGTTTTCCCACACCCCCATCAACTTCACCTCAACCCACACCGCTGTCCACCCCTCCGTCACCTGGACCCAGTGGGATTCGGCTCTCGCTCTCGAAGGCCTATGATGGGATGGCTGCCGGGTGCCAGGGGTTCCTGCTCCAGGTGGAGCTCTACCTGGCGACCGTCCACCCGGCTCCCTCGGGATACGAGAGAGTGTCCGCCCTCATCTCCTGTTTGTCGGGGAAAGCGCTGGAGTGGGCCAACGCCGAATGGGGAGGGGATAGATGCAACGTTGGTTCGCTACGAGGAGTTCACCCACCGCTTCCAGGCGTTCTTCGATCATCCGCCTGAGGGAAGAGCGGCGGGGGAACGCTTGTTCCATCTCAGACAGGGGAAGAGGAGCGAACAGGACTTCGCACTGGATTTCAGGACCCTGGTTGCCAGCGCGGGAGGGAATTAGAGGGCCCTGATCGACCATTACCGTTGTAGTCTACGGGAGGACGTTCGTCGGGAGCTGGCCTGCAGGGACACCACCCTTACCCTCGATCAGCTGGTGGATTTATCCATCTGGCTGGATAACCTGTTGGCCACCCGCGGACGCTCGGATTGGGGTCTGTCCGTTCCATCCCCCAGCACCTCCGAGTCTACACCTATGGAGCTCGGCGGTGCTGCTCTAAGGGGGGCCGTTTCCTGCACCACCTGTGGCTGCAGAGGGCACACTGCTGGTCGGTGCTGGGGAGGTTCCCCAGGGAGTCGAAGCAGCAGGCAGGGCACTGGTGGATCATCCCAGGTGAGTAGGCACCCGACTCACCCAGAGCTCCCTGTTGCGCACATGTATGTCTGTATAGAGTTTACTGAGTTTTCCCCGCATTCCCAGCATAAGGCGCTAGTAGATTCAGGCGCAGCTGGGAACTTTATTGACCATTCATTTGCACTTAGATTAGGGATCCCTATTGTTCCTGTTGATGTGCCCTTTCCTGTACATGCCTTAGATAGTCGTCCTTTAGGGTCGGGCCTGATTAGGGAGGTCACAGCTCCACTATGTATGATAACGCAGGAGGGTCATGAGGAGAGTATTAGTCTCTTCCTGATCATTCTCCTGCGTTTCCTGTGGTGTTGGGGCTTCCCTGGTTGGCCTATCATGACCCCACTATTTCGTGGCAACAGAGGGCTCTGAAGGGATGGTCACGTCAGTGCTCAGGGAGGTGTGTAGGTGTTTCCATAGGTGCAACTTCGGTGGAGAGTCCAAACCAGGTCTCCACCATGCACATCCCCCCCGAATATGCCGATTTGGCTCTCGCCTTCTGTAAAAAGAAGACGACTCAATTACCACCCCATCGACGGGGGTATTGTGTGATAAATCTCCAGGTAGACGCAGCACTTCCCAGGAGTCACGTGTATCCTCTGTCACAGGAGGAGACGGCGGCTATGGAAACATATGTCTCCGAATCTCTGGGACAGGGATACATTCGGCCTTCCACTTCACCTGCCTCCTCGAGTTTCTTTTTTGTGAAGAAGAAGGATGGAGGCTTACGCCCGTGCATTGACTATCGAGGTATAAATCAGATCACAGTGAATTACAGTTACCCGCTGCCTCTCATAGCCAGTGTGACCGAGTCATTGCACGGGGCGCGCTTCTTCACCAAATTGGATCTCAGGAGCGCGTACAACCTGGTGCGTATCCGGGAGGGGGATGAGTGGAAGACGGAATTTAGTACCACCTCTGGGCACTATGAGTACCTCGTCATGCCGTACGGGTTGATGAATGCTCCGTCAGTCTTCCAATACTTTGTAGACTAGATTTTCAGGGACCTGCACGGGCAGGATGTAGTGGTGTATATAGATGACATTCTAATATACTCCGCTACACGTGCCGAGCATGTGTCCCTGGTGCGCAAGGTGCACCAGGAACGTCTGGGGGTCTCGGTCAGCCTGACCTCAGGGTTTCACCCCGAGAGTAATGGGCAGGTGGAGAGAGTTAACCAGTATGTGGGTAGGTTTCTGCGGTCCTATTGCCAGGAGCGGCCGGGGGAGTGGGCGGCTTTCATCCCCTGGGCAGAGATGGCCCAAAACTCCCTCCGCCACTCCTCCACTAACCTGTCTCCGTTTCAGTGTGTACTATGTTATCAGCCGATCCTGGCACCGTGGCATCAGAGCCAGATCGAGGCACCTGCAGTGGAGGAATGGTTTCGGCGCTTGAAGGAGACATGGGACGCTGCCCATGTGCGCCTGCAACGGGCCATCGGGCGACAGAAGACGAGCGCCGACCGCCACCGCAGTGAGGCCCCGATGTATGCACCGGGGGACCGGGTCTGGCTCTCGACCCGAAACCTGTCCCTTCGCCTGCCCTGCTGGAAGCTGGGTCCGTGGTTTGTGGGGCCATTTAAAGTCCTGAGGAGACTGAACGAGGTAGTGGGGGAAAAAAAGTATTTAGTCAGCCACCAATTGTGCAAGTTCTCCCACTTAAAAAGATGAGAGAGGCCTGTAATTTTCATCATAGGTACACGTCAACTATGACAGACAAATTGAGGAAAAAAAATCCAGAAAATCACATTGTAGGATTCTTAATGAATTTATTTGCAAATTATGGTGGAAAATTACATCACTGGCTCGTCTTCTGTCGCCCGATGGCCCGTTGCAGGCGCACATGGGCAGCGTCCCATGTGCATCATAATAATGAAACAAAAAATGCCTTATTAGGCTATACAGTCATTCTACAGTGCCTTTGAAGTCACTTTTAGAAACATGAGTTTGGCCAATCTTTGGTTTGAGGATCATGTGGTGAGCTATGCATGCCGAAAATGTAAATGTAGTTAGTTAATTTAGCCTTGCAGATGCTTTTATAGTCCCATGCCCTAATCACAGTCAACACACATCTATTTTGTGACAACAATATCATAAAATAAAATAGAATAAATTAGAAAAAGATAGTTTCCCAAATGTTTTTTTTAACAAGTGCATATAGGCCTACCTGATGATATATGGCTGCTGTGTTAAACAATGAATGGCTTTTTCTCAAATTCATTGATGATCAGATACTTCAGTTGTAACTGGTTCTGTTGCGCTACATTTTTACAGTTGATCAACAACTTTAGCACTGTTCCAAACATGGACTATCCTATTTTTTTTACAATAGCCTGTATAGAAATCAAAACGTCTCCGTTGCTGCAGCATGCGCTCATTGTTTGTCATGCTCTGTTGTGGTATTAAAAAAGATTCTGCTTGGCTCCAGTGATGTAAAATTACATAGAATTGCATGAAATGCGTTTATAAAAGGCAATTTTTCTCGGATTAATAGTAAGATGATAGATTAATGCAGTGCTTTTATTATAATGGATATGTTTTCGCCCGCCATTGTCCATGGTGGTCTGCGAATCGTCAACCTTCTTGCTACTTTGCCATGTAATGCTTATAAACAAAGAACAGTTTCTAAAACTACATATTTAAGGCTCCGGTCTGTCCTGAGAGTGAAGGTAAAGTGCTATCCACTTTATGTTTTAATTATTATTTTGGGTATAGGGGAGGGTCACTTTTTTTCAAGCGTTCAGGGGGGGCCATCCATTTTCATTTCAGAGAGATGAGATTTGCTCCAGGTATCCACACATTATAAATAACGTACAGTCCCTTACCTTATTTTCTTGCTCCTTTAATCTTGCAATCAGTTTCATTATTACAGCCCCTCTCCGATCCCAGCAGGGTTCCACTCTGAGGTGCTGAGCCCCAGTATAGTAACAAATACTCTAATGGAGGTTTTGAGCCGTCATGGAGCTGATGGAGGAGCCAGTCGCAGGCTTAACCTGCTGGTTTGCATGCAAGAGAAGTCAATAGCTGCACTCCGGTGGGGCTGGGAGCAGAAAGGCCCAGACGGACATTGATTGAGGTGTTGCTATTTACATGCTGCAGAGAACAGGAGGAAAGGTTCCTGTCTGTATCTCACAGCCAACTGACTCCTGGGTTTTTACACTAATACAAATAGAGTACTTTCTGTTGCATGCAGGCAGGCAGACAGGCAGGCAGGTATAGACAGAGAGAGACACACACACACACACACACACACACAGAAAGATCATTCATATACAAATGCTTCTCAATGTAATTATACCTAACCATGTGGGGGGCAGATATAAAGGCATGGTTGTTACAGTTTCAATATGAACAATATCAACAACGCCGAGGCGTCACAAATGGAAGATAACGACAGAGATAATGCAGTTTAGATTACCCTCCAATCCCCTCTCTCTAAGTTAATGGAACTACTGATTGAATTATTGTTTAATTTTAATGTAAGAAAACTCTTGTCCTAATGACCAAGCTGTTGCTGCTGTAAGCCTCAGGTTTTGTCTTTGAAGTTTAGGCTATCCTTCCAAAACAGTTTTGAAAAACTTTTCATTGAAACAATCAGTGCTTGACTTGGGATGAAAGAAGTGCAGGAGCTGTCTTTTTCCAAGTCGGTCCATTTGACTATGTTCACCGAAATTCACAAATGACATTATGCTATAGAGACCTCTGATTATTCACTGTTAAGGGTTTATACACATTCTTCATGGCTTTTAACCAAATTTACATGACTATTATTATAGCCTACATGAAAAGGTAAGCATTATTGACACTGGAAGGCTGCTGTGTCTGATCCCCATGTAGACCTACCATCTCTTTGTCACGATCGTCGTAAGCAACAGACCAAGGCGCAGCGTGATATGCGTACATCTTTTAATGAGTACTTTACAAATATACAAAAACAACAAAACGATACGTGAAGTCCTAAGGTTAACAAAACACAAACCTCTCCGGAACAAGATCCCACAAATGACAAGTGCAAAACAGGCTGCCTAAGTATGGTACCCAATCAGAGACAACAAGCCACAGCTGCCGCTGATTGGGAACCACCCCGGCCAACATAGAAACACATGAACTAGAACATGAACATAAAACACTAAACATAGAAACTAACACCCTGGCTCAACATATAAGAGTCCCCAGAGCCAGGGCGTGACAGTACCCCCCGCCCAAAGGCGCGGACTGTGACCGCGCCAACTAAACCCAACAGGGGAGGGGCTGGGTGGGCATTCCGCCTCTGAGGCGGATCCGGCTCCGGGCGTGACCACCACTCTCTAGCTACCCCCCCCCCGTAGCGCCCCTGGTCTGGTCCCGCTGGCTGGAGCTGGACTGGACATCGGTGGAGCGGATTGCTTAGGCTCCGGTGTGGAGCAGCTGACCGGTACCTGACCAGGCACCGGTGGAACAGGCACGGGCTGTGCCGGACTGACGACGCGCACCACTGGCTTGGTGCGGGGAGCAGGAACAGGCCGGGCCGGGCTGGCGACGCGCACCACTGGCTTGGTGCGAGGGGCAGGAACAGGCCGGGCTGGCGACGCGCACCACAGGCTTGGTGCGAGGGGCAGGAACAGGCCAGACCGGGCTGGCGACGCGCACCACAGGCTTGGTGCGAGGGGCAGGAACAGGCCGGACCGAACTGGGAACACGCACCACTGGCTTAGTGCGAGGAGCAGGAACGGGCCGGGCCGGACTGGGAACACGCACCACTAACTTAGTGCGGGGAGCAGGAACGGGTCGGGACGGACTGGGAACACGCACCACTAACTTAGCGCAGGGAGCAGGAACGGGTTGGGCCGGACTGGGAACACGCACCACTAACTTAGTGTGGGGAGCAGGAACGGGTTGGGCCGTACTGGGAACACGCACCACTAACTTAGTGCGGGGAGCAGGAACGGGTTGGGCCGTACTGGGAACACGCACCACTAACTTAGTGCGGGGAGCAGGAACGGGTTGGGCCGTACTGGGAACACGCACCACTAACTTAGTGCGGGGAGCAGGAACGGGCCGGACCGTACTGGGAACACACACCACTGGCCTTGTGCGGGAAGCAGGAATGGGTCGGGCCGTACTGGGAACACGCACCACTGTCTTAGTGTGGGGATCAGGAACGGGCCGGACCGGACTGGTGACACACACCACTTGCGTGGTGCGAGGAGCGGGACTGTGTTTCCTCATAAACCTCCGCTCCCTCTGCTGCCTACTCAGTTCCTCTCGCCGTGCCTCTACACTCTCCTTCTCCCTTATCGCCTCCAGTAGCTCCTCCCTCTGACCAATTAACTCCTGCTCCCTCATGACCAATAGCCCCCGTAACCTGGTGGCCTCCTCTCCTATTCTGCAGATACGCCCTGTCGCTGCCTCCTGCTGCCTAGCCTGAGTACGGGGAGTTGGCTCTGCTCTACCTCTAGGCTCCGCCAACCTCCCTTCCAGCCCCCCAAACCTGGTGGCCTCCTCTCCTAATCCGCCAATACGTCCTGTAGCTGCCTCCAGCATCACCGTCGTCCATGCCGTGTGCCCCCCCCCAAAAAAAATGTATTGGGGTTGCCTCTCGCCTGTCCGACGACGACCCGGTTGGCGCCGCTTCTCCTCTCCTGCCTGGACATCCTCCCTCATCGCCCTCCGGTAGCGGACGGCCTCCTCCTCGGTGATCTTCCCCCAACCGAGGAGGACATCCACTAGCGTTACCTCCGGCGTTTGCTCCTGGACACGCTGCTTGGTCCTTAATTGGTGGGATCTTCTGTCACGATCGTCGTAAGCAACGGACCAAGGCGCAGCGTGATATGCGTACATCTTTTAATGAGTACTTTACAAATATACAAAAACAACAAAACGATACGTGAAGTCCTAAGGTTAACAAAACACAAACCTCTCCGGAACAAGATCCCACAAATGACAAGTGCAAAACAGGCTGCCTAAGTATGGTTTCTAATCAGAGACCTCAAGCCACAGCTGCCTCTGATTGGGAACCACCCCGGCCAACATAGAAACACATGAACTAGAACATGAACATAAAACACTAAACATAGAAACTAACACCCTGGCTCAACATATAAGAGTCCCCAGAGCCAGGGCGTGACACTCTTGCCGTTGTGCCCTTGATCAAGGCACTTAACCCCCCACAAAGTAGAACTGTACTGTTAGTCACATGTTGTCAACATGTGGTCAACCCTCCATCTGAAGAGCTCCTGGGTGTGCAGGCAAGGCTTTTGATCCAGCCCTGAAACACAGAAGTCTGCTTATCAAGGTCCTGTTGAGCAACTGATGTTTAGGCTACAATGTGGTTAGACCAGGGCTTGAACAAAAGCCTGCAAACCCATGCAGTAGCTATCCTGGAGGATGGTTGCCACCCTTGATGTAAAATAATGCAACATTACAACCAAATACTTAGGTCTTTATACAATTATTCCCTCATTCAATTAATCAGGGATCAAATGGATAAGGTAGGCTACTTCAAAGCAAGGTATATAACAAGACATGTTTATATATAAGGCTCAAATATTCATGTTTCAGGGGAGATCTATGCACAATAAGTTATTTGTCATTTAGGCTATTCATATAATATTTTTTGCATTGTCGCAATGGCTACTGTTTAACTAGATGGCCAATAGAGGAGATTCCCAGCTTTCCAACGGTGCAGATTTATTTAGGCTCTACAGTGCCGGTGGAAAGGTGACAACAACATTAATGCTTAGTTAGCTATAGTTATCTAGCAAGATAACTTGTAGCAGTTATGTTTTTAATTGGCCATCTAGTTAATCTGTTGTCTGTCATTATTTTATACCTGCTGCTGAAATGTCCTGCTCTCTCTCCTTGGGCAACGGCCCACTCGCAATGGCACACACCCAGCACACAGAGACATGCACTGATTTAAAAGTGTGCCTTCATGAATTATATTAACACAAATTATTAAACTAATATCCATGACTTTTCATGACCTTACAAACTCTAATTTGACAATTTGGAACAGCGCATCATGCGCATTCAAGCTGGCACATTTTCAAACAGCCTACTGTCACACACAGATTCACAGACTAGCAGCAAATAAATTTTAACAAAGCGGAATCAAGAAATGAATGCCCACTCTCCATTGCTATTCAATGCAGATCCTGCCTTCATTCCTATTTGATCAAAATTTTTAGCGATAGGCAACGTTGTCACAGTTTCTAAACCCAGAGGCGCAGCATTGCGAGACTTCCAGGAACGCTTGCGAAACAGACCAAGCAGTGCAGGCCGGGGCTTGGGGTTTGAGAAGTCAATTAGAGAAGTGAAAAATGATTCCTTAGTTGTTAATTTTCTCTAAATCTAAAGGCACAACCTAGATTTGAGCGAATGTCTTAAGTAGTTGAACATGTTATAACTCCAACTTCGTGAAAGTGACAAACTGACACGTTTTCATTTTCATCAAAAACAACTTTATATCGAAGGAGTGCCTTTGATTTGACGGCCTGCACATGTGCAGTTCGGTGCGAGACGACCGTTAGACCTGATGACGTGTTTCTACGCATGAGTTTAGCCAGCCAATGTCACGATGACATCGCCTACAAGTGTGATCGAGGATTTCTATTGGAGAAGCAGTTTCTGCCTATCTTCATACTGTACTATCTTTGACTTTGTTTTCCTAGAGGAGCTAGTACGGCAATTCCCCCCAAAAATTAGAAGTGCCGGAATGGCACTCCGTACAGCTCAGGCCCAAGTCAAACACTGGTCATCTTGCGAAAATGTTATTTTCCTTCAATGTGTTCTATTAGCACTCTGCCTCTGTATTCAGCTGACACTGTAAAGCAGTGATTCTGCTGTAAACCACACAAAAAAGAAAACATAGCAAAACATTACTGCAGTAACACTGACGGCCTTCTGGTCAGGTCAGCAGAATAACGGAGCGAGGGAGATAGAAATCTGAGAAACGTCAAAGTTGGTGTGTGAGTGTTTGTGTGGATCGATGGAGATACTGTACATAGCCCCCTCCCCTGTCTTTGTTTACCATGGAGGGGCAGACCTCCTTGTTGATTTGTTTGTGTCAGCATCTGATTGTGTTCAAAACATCCTCCAATGCATACATTTTCACTGTCTGATATGAGCTAATGTGTATCCATTGTGTGTGCTGGTGCTAATCATTAAAGTGGGCAGAGACACTGTGAGCAGAGACACTGTGAGTGGGTGATTGGGTGGGTCTGTGATGTGTGTGTGTGTGTGCTATCGATAAGGGCCCCTCACCAGGGATAGGGCCATAGTAATTGGTATATCAGCAGTGTGTATGTTCCTCCTCCCTCTGTCTG